GAAGTGTGAAGAAAGACTAGTTGAAATCTGGTCCCAAATGGGATAAGAACCCACAACCAATGGTTTGAGGCAGTAAATGGCTTGTATAAAGTTATTTTGGGTTAAAATATGTTATAATACAATGAATTTGATTGATTACAAGTGCTAGAGATGGATGAAGAATGTTTAGAAGTGTGAAGAAAGACTTGTTGAAATTTGGTCCCAAATGGGATATGAACCCACAACCAATGCTTTGAGGCAGTATATGGCTTGTATAAAGTTATTTTCGGTTAGAAAATGTTAAAATACAATGAATTTGATTGATTACAAGTGCTAGAGATGGATGAAGAATGTTTAGAAGTGTGAAGAAAGACTTGTTGAAATTTAGTCCCAAATGGGAGAAGAACCTACAACCATTGGTTTGAGGCAGTAAATGGCTTGTATAAAGTTATTTTGGGCTAGAGTATGTTATAGTAGAATGAATTTGATTGATTACAAGTTCTACCAGATGGATGAAGAATGTTTCAAAGTGTGAAGAAAGATTTGTTTAAATCTGGTCCCAAATGGGATAAGAACCCACAACCAATGCTTTGAGCAAGAAAATGGCTTGTATAATGTTATTTTGGGTTAGCATATGTTATAATACAATGACTTTGATTGATTACAAGTGCTAGAGATGGATGAAAAATGTTTGGAAGTGTGAAGAAAGACTTGTTGAAATTTTGTCCTAAATGGGATAAGAACACACAACCAATGGTTTGAGGCAGTAAATGGCTTTTATAAAGTTATTTTTGGTTAGAATATGTTATAATACAATGAATTTGATTGATTACGAGTGCTAGAGATGGATGAAGAATGTTTAGTAGTGTGAAGAAAGACTTGTTGAAATTTTGGTCCCAAATGGGATATGAACCCACAACCAATGATTTGATGCAGTAAATGGGTTGTATAAAGTTATTTTGGGTTAGAATATGTTATAATACAATGAATTTGATTGATTACAAGTACTAGAGAAGGATGAAGAATATTTAGAAGTGTGAAGAAAGACTTGTTGAAATCTGGTCCCAAATGGGATAAGAACCCACAACCAATGCTTTGAGCCAGAAAATGGCTTGTATAAAGTTATTTTGGGTTAGAATATGTTATAATACAATGACTTTGATTGATTACAAGTGCTAGAGATGGATGAAGAATGTTTAGAAGTGTGAAGAAAGACTTGTTGAAATCTGGTCCCAAATGGGGTAAGAACACACAACCAATGGTTTGAGGCAGTAAATGGCTTGTACAAAGTTATTTTGGGTTAGAATATGTTATAATACAATCAATTTGATTGATTAAAAGTGTTAGAGATGGATGAAAAATGTTTAGTAGTGTGAAGAAAGACTTGTTGA